ATCCTGGGGAAGGAATTAGAGATAGCGGAAACTAAAGATAAAATTGAAAGTTCTAACTCGGTATGATACGGTTCTAAAGTGGAGTATACTTGAGATATCTCTTTAAGTATCTGGAATGCAATCTTTTCATAGTACTCAGAATGAATGTTCTTAGACCTAAAGAGAGTCATCCAAAACACCAGAGACGACCCTAAAGAATTGGGATCTTTAAGTGCTCCAAATACATACTCATAAAGAGTATTTAAGTTCTTTACTTCCATCTCAACAAATTTATTGTTGAGATAGGTAAAAGAGTCTATCATTCCAGGATTGGTACCAACTCCATTAGAAAATTCTATGAGTTGTTCTATGAATAAGGGAGTAAGTGATGTGGTAGAAATATATTCAGAAAAATACTCTAAAGACTTGTCTAGAGAGATCCTACCTTTGGAGAATACAATTTGATTCATTTCCAAGATTTTATCTTGCTTTTCTTTGGGAACCAAAGGAAGAGTGTGTGTCACAATAGAAATAATAATGGAAATAAAATTGTTATCTAGAACCACGTCTCTGTTATAGTTCTCTTTAGAATCTACTATTGCATTAGAAGATCTAATTAGATATGGTAAATATGTATCCAAAAGAATAACAGTAGCTCTTTTTAGTTCACTCCTTCTCTTCTCATCAATGTCGTTGTTCAAATTTAGCATAAATAGAAATTTTTCCAAAATTAAAAATCCAAAAATTTGAGAATCTTCCAAAAACGAAAAAATAACGCTAAAAAAAACAGGAAAATTCTCCGGCCACTCCAAAATACCACAAAGAGCCCAAACATCTGCTAGTTTATTCCTAACAAGGGGATTGTGTGATGAAATGGAGTGAATTGAGGTATTCAAAAAGTCAGTAAGTGGCTGAGTTGAGATACCGTTCCTCTTACAATTCTTTAATTTCTTTTCACAGATTATCAAAGAATAAAATCTACACTCTGGTGTTGAGTTATTCATAAGCTTATACATATGTTCTAAATTTCCATCATTTACCACCTTTTCCACCTCTCTCTCTAGTTCTTTGATCTTTTGTGGAGAGGTCTTTACCTCTACAATCAGAGATTCCAACTCTTCTGCCATTTTTATGGGAGACAAAAAAATCAAATTTTATAGCGGGGTTTTTACCCTTTAAGATGAGTACTTTTAAAAAAGGCAAATTACAGCTTTTTATGAGAATTTGAAGTCCTTTTTTCATCCTTCCCGTCTTCCCGATGGTTTTAGAATCTTCCCTTCAAAATGGAGAGAAGATTAGAAAATTTTCATTTAAGTTGTAGGGAAGAGTACAACAGGATCTTGAAAGATTTTAACATTCTTTTTTATGGCTACGGATGCAAGCAAAGGATATTAAAAAAGCTATTTCCCAATTCTACACTTCTAAACTGTAAATTGCTTAAAATCAACGAAATAATTTCATTTATAAGAGAGAATTTGAATGAGATCTTCACCAGTCTATGCACAGACAAAGCCATTAATAGTAAACTAACAAAAGATAGATGTAATTTAGAGATTAAAGCTATAAAAAGGTACCATTCCTTTGAGTTTATTGATAATTTACACTCTTTTCTGGGAAGGGAGAATTTAAGGTTAAGCTTCACCTTTATAAACTTTGATTTTGAAGACCTTTCAATTTTTAAAGGTAAAAGTTCCTTTCAGGTGATTGGTACCTTAGAAGACCCAACCTTCAAATGCACTTTAAGTGACATTAAAAGTTTTAATTTTATTTATAGGGATATGACCACTTATGAACCTTACGAAGAGGAGATAATTGATATTTCACTATTTACCAGATCCAATAAATTGGATAATACCTTTAGTATAGTAAGAAATGTCTCTAATAGATCAAAAATGATCTTTAAATTCATTTTAGAGAATTCCTTAGATTCCAAGAAAGTATCTCTCTGTGATATAGCAGAGAGAGTCAATAAAAGATTCTTAATTAACAAAGTTGAGTCTTTAAATGTGTTACTAGTAGAGTTTTATGACCACGGTGTTATTAAAAGATTAGATAACATTTTTATATCCATAAATCTATCCAAGGAGGAAAAGAAGAGAATTTTAGAAGAATGGGATGAGATGGTGTGATATTCACCTTTTAATCCAATCCCTAAGGATGGATTTCAAGGAGTTTAAAGCTAAAATCAAGAAATTTTCAATTGAAAGTTCCACTTTTAGGTTGGAGAGAGACAGAGAGATGGAAGGAAATATAAGAGAGATATATAGCAATAAAATGACTCTAATTGACAAATACTCTAATCTTAAATTGAGAGCAATTCAAAGTTTTAAGTTTAGAAGTATCACCTCTCTAGCAATGAATGAAAAGATGGTATTCTATGGTTCCGTTGATGGTACAATAGGAGAGTATAGCTATACCAGGGGAGAAAATTACAAGACTAAACCAAGTGATGTCATTCAGAGTTTCAAGTTAAAGAGTGGTAGCTCTCCTATAATTGAGATATTTCTGAAGGATAGTTCTATTTTTTATATTGGATATGATGGTAGTATCTATAAGGGTGGCATTAGGGAGAGTGGTACCAGTGACCATACCTTAATATTTAAAAACGATAAAAACATCAAGAAGGTTTCCTTTCAAGGAGAGTTAGGATATTTCTTGTTTTCAGGTTTAGAGAGAGAGTTAATACTCCATGATATTACTGCTAACAAGAATGTTTTGGAGATAGAACAGGAAAAAGAAATAAAGTATTTAGATATCCATAGAGATGGTAGTTTAATAATGGTAGTAAGTAAGTACTGTGAGATTATTGATCTTAGATCAATGAGTGTAATTATGAGATTTGATTCTAATCCACTTTTAGGTGTATTTATGGAGAGTGGATATGAAATATCCACTGGTAATACTGGGAACTGTATTTTCTCATGGGATATGAGAAACTTAGTAAGAAATGGTGTAATTCTATCTCACTGTGACACAATCCAGTACGTGAAGAGTTGTAAAGACTTTTTATTTAGCTACTCATCAGAGGGTAGGGTTTGTATCTCTACACCCGGTATCTCTACCGTACACAAAGAGTGGGTGGTAGATAATAAAATAACAAAACTCACCAATCTAGAGGATGTGGTAGTATTAACAGACTCTAACAAGAACATTAAAATGTACCATTGAAAGGTTGACAATAAAAAGGGTGTTTTAAAAATGACCAATTGAATTTCAAAGAAGGGGTCTATAACCTTTGGAATTGGCTTGTTACCAAAAAGGGTAAAATTTTGTTGACTTAAAGGGTGTGGGTGGTATTTAGATCATAACATCTCCTAATATTAAAGGAGTATTAAATAATAAATACAGAAATTTATTTTTATTTAAATGATTCTTTTCTACTTATTTTACTTGCTTGGATTTGGTAACACATTAGCACCCGTATTCTTAGCATCAACTGCCTTTCCACTAGTTCGAGATGTTTTAGAAAAAGCTCCAAATCCCTTCTCACCACCTCAACCTGCACCATCCCAACAAGGTAATACACAACCCACTTCTTCCACTGCTAATCCACCACAAGGTGGAATGATGGTGGTACCATCTCAACCTGCACCATTACAGCAAAATAGTATACCAAACCCTGTCCCAACATCAGTTCCTAGTGATGGTAGTACATCTCTTCCTACTGCTAATCCTGTCCTCACTTCACCTCAAGGACCTACCACACCTACAGAATCACCTCAAGAGAAAAAGTGATATTCCATTCCATTTAAATAAAAATTAACCTTTCAAGATCTCTTTAACTAAAACAACCACTCTTCCAACTTTCCCTCCATTTTTCATTTCATTAATTTAAAAATCATTACATCAGTGATGTAAAATCGCGGTAGATTAAATTTTAACACCAAAAAAATCAGTAAAGGTAAAATGTATGTTTATTTCATCTATTCTACAGAGATATTACTTTTTAAGAATTGATTAATTTCATTTTCATTTGATATAGAACCTGTTAAAATTTTTTTTGAAAATTTAAAAGAAAGAAAAATTTTAACCCCTCGTAGAAGAATGTCAAGTGAAAGGAAGAGCAAGAAGATTTACATGTTGGTTATAGGACTTTCTGTCCTGTTAGGTTTAGTAGCATTTGGTGTTGCTGTAGTAGTAGGTTCGAAGGGTAGAAGCAAGTTAAATGGGGAGTTGTTTTCTCGTATAAAGAAAGTATATAAAGATAATTCCTCACATCCGGTTATGGCGATTATCAAGAAGACTTATATTGGGCTAGGTTATGTTAAGGAGACTAAAGGTGATGACAAAGATAAGGTTGTACCAAAGATGTTTTTCATCGACGTGGGAGATGATGACAAAAAGAAGTTTGAAGAGGTTCTTTCTGGCAAAAAAGAGGGTGATCATAAGGTGGTGATAGAAGGATTGGATAATGGAATTGTAAGTGATTCTTCCCAAAGGATATACCCTGATAGGATTGGAGATATTCAGAAGATCATAAAATTGGGATTTTTCTCCAAATGGATTGGTCTTTTTGGAAATAAGGGTTTGATTGATAGCGTTAGCAGACTTTCTAGTGCCATTGAGAAGGGATTGAATGATACTAAAGATAAGAATGGGTCTGGTGTTGTTATTAAGAGAGATAGTGATAAGGTAACTGTTTACTCTTGCATTAAGGATAAGGACAGCAGTGACAAGTTATCTTGCAAGAAATTATCTGAGGTGAAATGCCCTACCAGTGATGATAAGAAAGCAGGTAGTGAGGAGGTACTTTTCTATACTTTATACTCTTTAGCTTCTAGTGAGTCTCTTAAACCCTTAGGTGAGGTAAAGGAGGGTAAGAAAGATAAAGAAGAGTGAGTTCTTTTATCCTTTAGCAGTAGCGTGAAATAAAGGGATAATTTATGAAATTTCCATTTTTCTTCTTTTGTTTTCTAAATTAAATTTTAATTTAACACTTCCGAAGGCTACTCTTAGAGATGATCCGATCTCTGAGTGATAATGCACCAAAGATTTAAATAAAGCCCTTTTACAGACTAAGAATGGATTTATTGAAGAAAAGCTTCAAGAAGTATTTTGAGAGCAATAGGAAAAAGATAGTTCATGGTGAAATATCCATTTGTATTGGGAATGAGGGATGTGACTTAGATAGCTTTATCTCCTCTCTGGTAGTTGGATATGCTGAGGAGGTAATTCACGTGGTAAATATGAAAAAAGAGGTTTTTATATGCAAAGGAGAGCTGATGTGGGTGTGTAACAAATTTGGAATAGAAGTGGACGATTTAATTTTCTTTGAAAGACCTATGGGGCAATTCTCACCTAGAGCTAGAATCTTAGGATCCTATTTTCTAACAAAGGATGGTAAATACTTCTTAGAAAGTAAGAAAATAACATTACATCTAACAGACCACAATGACCCTGTCCCAGAAATGATATTTAATGAGATCGAACTTATCATAGATCACCACAAACTAGAAGACCACATTTACAATGTTAAGAGGATTTATATAGACATAGATGTAGGATCAGCCACTACTTTGGTTTCTAAATATTTGGGAAAGGATTTGAGTAGAAAGCATCACTGTGTGAAGAGTACTAAAGAGAGTTTGAGTAAAGCTGAAAAGAAAATGAAAGAGACACTGTGTAGTTGTATAGCTCAACTACTTTTAATACCAATACTTACAGATACGAGGTTTTTAAAGAGAAGAACGAGCATTTTTGATTATCTGGAGTATAAGAAGCTTAAAAAGAGAGCTAGTATTAGTAACAAGGAGCTTAGGAAGAATCTGAGAGGGATGAAGAAAGCCAGAAGTAATGATAAAGAATACCCAACAGAGATAATCCTACAAAAAGATTATAAGAATTACCTTTTTAACGAGATGAGGTTCGGGTGTTCAACCGTTAAGTACGACTTTGAGGTGTGGATAGAAAGGGAAGGGAAGGGTTCCAAGGGTGTAAAACAAGATAAAATAGGAACTGTCCTCCTTAGCCAGCTACAAAGCTTCAAGGAGGACATGGGAATTGACTTTCTAATTGTTGGTTGTAAATTGAAGAAGAAGAGGCATTACATCATTCTAAATCTTCCATATCTCACTATCTTTTCTAAGGAGAACCTTTTTGAGCTGGTAAATTATAAGGGTCTTTCTTACTTTAGAGCACCTGTAGAACTTTCCAGAAAACTCCTTGTACCGAGAATTAAAGCCTTTCTAAATAGAAGCAAAATCTGTGCTTAAAAGGAAAAAGCAGAAGTAAAATTTTTTATTTTGTCACGGTCTAAAACCCTCAGCAAGGATTCATAGATTGTATATTACCCATAAATTCTAAATCCTCCTTGTAGTACACATCAAATTCTTTGTTAACACAATTTAATTTTCCATTCTCTGATTTATTGATTAAAAGGTAAGAGGCAGGTCCTATCTCATTACAATAATTTGGTGCTGAGAATATTGTTATAACCCTATTTTCATGGTTTAATTTAATTCCATTCTTTATATACTCATGGCTTCTTATTATCAATTCTAGCCCATTCTTGTCCATAAACCTTTTAGTTACCTCCTTACCAAATATCACCCCTACTCCCCTTTTACTAGGAAGAGTTTCTTCAATCTCAGCTGGATCTGACCACATCAATCCTTCCAAAATCTTATTATAGTCACAATTTCTAATTTTCTTTCTATTCAGAGACTGTATCTCTTCCAATGAAATCAAGTCTTCAGGTAGTCCACCATGTGTTATAAAAATCTTACTATCAAGAAGAGTTACCAAAGGGAGGACCGAAAATACCAAATTGAAACAGGTAAAGAGAGATTCATAAGAAAAAGGATACTTTTTCTTTAATTCCTCATAGAACCCCATAACCCTGTTCATCTCACTGAACTCGTGATTCCCTCTATTCAGAAAAACATTTCTTGGATACAAGATTTTAAGGAGCAGGAAGAAAGTGAAGTTTTCTAGGGAGAATTCTCCCCTGTCTACAAAATCTCCGTTGAAAACGTACTTTTTTGACAGATCTATCAAGGAACCACTTTTTGGTAGCATTCTATTGCCAATTTTACACAAAATACAAAGAAGATCTATGAACTGTCCGTGGGTATCACCGAACACAAGTATCTCCTCCTCCCCCTCTATCTCTACGTGTATTAAATTGTCCAAGTTACTTAGAACCGAATATCCCATTCTAAGTATCTCTAAAATACGCTCTGTAGGAACGGTCTCCTTTTTGGCAAATTTTAAGATACACTCCCTTGCTAATTCTTCATCTACATTTACATCCTTTGGTAAGCCCTTAGAGATAGATCTGTAGATCTCTTCCATTTCGTTACATTTGGTTTGAGAAATGGCAATGTTTAGATCATTAAATTTAGTTTTCTCTTCCAGTGAATTATAAATTCTCATTCCTTCCTGGTACAACCCTAACTTTAAACAAGAGACAGAACATTTGGCAAGAGACCTATCCAACCTCTCAAAATAGCTCGATTCTTTGGAATAAAAAATCGAATCTTCATATTTCCTCAATTTAAAATAAGAAAGAGAAATGTTGAATGATAACAGGGACATCTCTCTCTTTATTTCAGGGAGAATCATTGGTCTATTAGTGGTACTCTTTGGATCACCCACCTCCACATCTTTTTGTAAATTCAGATTTTCTGTTATATCCTTCTCTACACTCTGACTGTGGGTATTTAGTATATCCAATCCAACCTTTCTTACTCTAAGATATACCTCTATGGCTTTATTATATTCCCCTTTCTTGAAATATTCATTTCCCTCGCTTCTCATTTCTTTCAACTCTTCAACCATTTCACCCCTTCTTCATGCCTTTCTTTTTATACTTCAAAATGTTTCAGAATTAGGGAACTTTAAAGAATTGTTAGGAAAAGTCACACAAAGTATTACAAGATGGTATTAACTTGTTTTAGAGTAATATTTTAATTTTTGAGAAAGAGTTCAAAGTGAGAATTTACCACTTTGTGTAGGTCTTGGTAGATTTATGAAATAAGGGTGCTTTATGGCATTTAAAGGAGTGATTCTCCTGGAAGGATCATAGACCAACATTTTGGAAAGGAGATCCAGTGCATCATCTGAGACAGCTGTAAAAAGAGACTTTAGCGGTGGTGGGGGATATACAGGATATTTGATGAATGAGGGAAGGGTTGCTATTCCCGGCCATACTACCTCATTCGGTGTTCCTAATCCCCTGAAAATTAAGTCTAGCTGTTTAAAGTCATCCTCACCCGGGAAATAAGGGGTCCTGAGGAAGAGTTCAGCAAAGACACATCCCAAAGACCACATATCCACCGAGAATGAATACAACTTTGAACCAAAAAGTAATTCCGGTGGTCTATACCACCTAGTTATTACCTCAGGGGTCATATCACCCACACCCAAATCTCTAGCCAATCCAAAATCAGCTAATTTGACTATTCCCTTACTGTTTATTAAAATATTATTTGGTTTTATGTCTCTGTGAATTAAAAACTTTCTGTGACAAGCGTACAAACCCTTCAATATCATTAAAATCCAAGATTTCACATCTCCTGGCATGATAATCACTCTTTTATCTTTTATTACTTCTTCCAAGTTACTCTCCAAATATTCCAAAACTAAATGTAGAGTTCCTTTATAGCAGAAAATATCAAAAAGTTGTATCACAAAATCACTCCTCACTTTCTTTAGAGATTGTATCTCTCTTATGGCACTTACCTCTATTCCCATGCTGTATCTAGTTTTTTTTATTTTTTTGATTGCTACCTGTCTTATAGCTTTACGATACCTCTCTTTTTGACCTAGGAGTGGTGATGCGCTTTCTGTATCATTCTCTGGACTATCTTTAGGTTTAGTTAATTCCTTAGGATCCACTTCATAATCTTTTAGTACTTTAAATTCGCTATCCTTATATAGCTCTATCTCATCTGCTAGATATATCGTAGCGTATGTCCCCTCTCCCAATTTTCTCTTCTTTATGTAGCCAGAACCTCTTCTCACCACCATTTGGGGTGGGACATACTTTTTGAACCATCTCTAAAGATTGGATTTGGTAGATGTGGGACAAGAAATGTTTTGATAGAATGATAGATCAACCAGTAAGAGATAGAATACAGCTATAAAACGGAAAAAGGAGAAGTGTTTTTGTTAAAAAGATAGGAATAGGAAAACAGGATCAAATGAATAATCAAATAATCTTTGAGATAGTTAAATACATGGAATACACAGATACCGTGGGAAATAACAACAAGATAAGCAAAGCTATTCTGTCCAAAGAATCTTTGATTAGAAGACTGAAAAGAAACAAAAGGAGAATTGAAAGACTCTTATCAAAGAGAGAGGATATATCAACACTAAAGGGAAGGAATATTCTAAGATCAGAGGATTATTTGATTGATTTTGAGAGGGTTCACCATTTAATAGAAAAGGTCCTTTTAAAGGGTAAGTGTGACACGTTCTTAGGGGGGATATTTCACTGTGAGGTATCTCCCAGGCTGGCTTTGATAGCAAAGAGAGTTGATTTTGAACTGAAAAAGAAAGTACTAAAGACTCTTTTAGAGAGATATTAAAATTTTAATTAAAGTAATGAGAAAGATCTATCTCTGTATCTCATGCCTTAGTACCAACTTCTATTTTAAAATTTTCCTTTTCGATTACTTGGCTATGGCCCTGTAAATAAAAAATAGAATTATAAAGACGATAACACCAACTACAGCATACCACTTAAAGCTCCTCCACCACAATCTCTGTCGAGTCTCAGAAGCCCTTCTTTGGAACATTGCAGATCTCTGTTCCAAGGTATCTGTCCTCTTATTCAAGTCTTGTAATCCAGCACCTCTTTCCTCCTCTCCTCTTATGGTATCCTTCATCTTCCCTTGTAAATCATCCAACTCTTTATTTATTTTGGTTGTAATATCATTCTTCTTCATTTTATGGCTTTATTTTATCTCTCTTTGTATCTATCTCCTTATCTTTCATCATTCTAACATTTTGTGTTTTATTATCACTTTCTCTCCTTTAAAAGCCATCAAAATTACCAATTATAGAAATTTAGATAAAAAGAGAACGACCAACCTTAGATGACCTGCCTCTCCCTGTCGTTACAACACTAGTGTTATAAATTTTAAAAAGATTTAATTATGGAACAGTCTTGCTATGCTAACCCCTAGGAGAAGAGGTTCTCAATTAGACCGTAATTTATTTTGGTTGATTTCTCTTTTACAACACTCCTAAGAGCATCTTCTACCGTGTTGAATTCCTTCCTTCTTTTCTTAGTTTGTGGCTTGCGTGGTATAGTCACTCTGTTCTCCTTATCCTTTAAATAGTCTCCATACATCTCATCCCAAAGAATTTCCTTTTTTTCATATTCATCCCTGCTCAGAATATACTCACCTAATTCACTCTCTTCCTCCAACGAGAGTGGGAAAGTATCCTCTTCTTTGCGAGAAGAAGTCGAAGGTGTGACTATCCCTTTCATATCTACTGGAAGATGGAGCATTTCATCCTCTTCTGGTGTTAAAACACCTTCTTCCAAATGGTCATTAATGCTAGGTGGTGGAGTGCCTATTTTAAGCGAATTTATCTTCAAAATGGGTGGATCACACTCTCTTTCCAGCCAAACAACATTAAAATCATTTAAAGTAAGATTGGCACTTTCTGTTTCGCCCATCTCTTTAAGTCTCTTGTTTATGGTGTTAATGCTTACATGTACCACTCTAGCTACGTCTGAAATACCTCTCTCATCCTTTAATATTCTACTTGACAGAACTAAAGCAGCTCCACACAAGTTATTGGGCCTTCTTCCCACCACAATCCAATCTCTCTTCATTCTACTAATGATCCTCATAGAAAGGTTCAAAGCCTCATTCCCGAGTTTTAATTTGCTAACAAATCTCGGAAGATAGAGGGACGGATCTAGGATTGGCATTTTAAGATTGAGCAATTGAGATATCTTCATATAAACTCTCCCTATCCTGAAAACGTCAATTTTTAACAAAACTGAGAAATCTATCAACATGTGAGGTGTTCTTTCTTGTCTACAAACAATGTAAATACAAGCAGAGAGTGTATAGAGAATTGACTTTCCCTTGCTTAGGTTGTACTGGAGAGAGAGTTTGTACCATCTAAAAGCAGCTTCAGAGTAATCAGATCTCAAACCCAGAGAAGTACAAACAGAGGTAATGGTATTCCTTACATAAAAGTTGTTTGATGCTATAAACACCTTTCCAACCTTGTTGTAAGTGTCAGACATTCTTATCATCTGACCTGTCAATTGCGAATTTCCATTGTCCTCCACAAAGTTTAAACTTGAAACTATTCTACTCTCTTCTTGAATTGTACCACACATCTTACAATATGAGTTACCCTCCGAATTATTCACTTCTATTTCATTAGACCCACACTCTGTACATTTCATTTCTGGGGATTCTAAATTTGAGAGAAAAAATACCCTTTACTCTGCCCCTTCTTCGCCAAGTTTTCACAGCCCTTCAGGAGGAAAAATGAAATCTCGCTTGTACCATAAAATACTTAAGATGTGTGTGTCTGAGATACTAATACAGGTCGGGTACGAAAAAACAACGGAGCAGGGTATAAATATATTGACAGATATTTTGACGTATTACATTGAATGCATGTGTAAGAGTATTGATAATTATACATTTAAATGTTCTTTAAGAGATATCTTTAAAGAGTTAGGAGAAAGAGAAGAGCTTGAAAAGGAAAGCTGTGACAAAGAGATACTGACCCAAGATGGTAAAAATCTTGGTGTTTTTGAGAGTGGAGATCTGATTTTAAAGTTTTTTGTCCCAAAATTTGTTGGAAGTAAAGAATCCTACACCTTTATTGAGCTCTTTCCTTTTGTTAATGCACAGATAAGCCTAAAGAACAATATAAAAGAAAAGTTAAATAGCAGCGGTACAAAAATAGAGGGAGATTCTCTTCTCCATTTACTCAGGGTTATTCCCAAGAGTGTTGTACAAAAACCAGAGGGTAGAAGGATTAGAGATGGATCTTTCGTGATTAACCCGGAGGAGAGAAAAGATGAAGAAATGCTTTTAGATGAGTACACCAAGACCTTTATTAAGGATTTAAAAGAGAAAGGAGGGGGGGTGGGAAGTGAAAGTGTAGAAGTTTTAGTAAGTGATAGCACAGAGAAAAAGTTAAGAGTTAGTAAAAATGTAATTAATGATCTAGTCTTTAATTTGAGCAGAGTGGATGGACCAATGGTCTTGGAAATATTCAGAGATAGGAGAGTGGGTCTTGGAGACGAGGAGTATTTAAAGATTTTGAATGAAAGGAGGAATATTCTACAGAGAGGAGGAAGTCTTATAAATGAAATGAATGGGTTGAAAAGAAGAGTTATAGATAAGGAAAATAGAAGAGAGGAATGGATAGTAGAGGGTTCTAAATCTAAAGATTGTGAAAAGAAGGGAATTGAGCACTCAGAAAAGGAAGGAGTGGCTTAGAAGTAATGTAACTAAACATTTTCTTTTAATTAAATCTCTCTAGTCCGAAGTCGATCGGGTCTACGTACCTGTAGTGGGTATTAATGTTCCTAATCCTCTCCATGTCATCCTCAGTGAGGATTAAGAGATCTCTGTTACTTTTCAAATGGTCATAGGAAGATGATTTGGGTACAACACAGATGTTCTGTTGGGTTATAAAGCTAAGAATAATTTGAGAGGTGGATGCACCGTATTTCTTAGCTAATTCTTTAAGGAGTGGGTCGTTTAGGAGCTTGGGTCCCTGAGATGACCCTGAACCTAGTGATGAGTACGACACTACCTGAATGTTGTTGTTTTTAAAAAAGGTAACCAAATCATCTTGTCTCAGGTAGGGATGGTACTCAAATTGAGCAATACTGGGTTGAATACTACAAGTTTTGAGTATCTTGGTGATATTCTCTGGTCCAAAGTTTGAAATTCCAATAGATTTAACCTTTCCCTCCCTGACAAATCTTTCCATTTTACTCCACAACTTTACCACTTCAAATTTATCAAGCTTTGGAGAGCCATCCTCGTATCTTAATGTTTTACCATTCTCATTCTTAAAAGAGACAGGCCAGTGTACCAGATATAAATCCAAGTACTCTAATTTTAAAGCAGTAAGAGATCTTTCAAGGCCTTGTGATGGATTAGAATGGAAAGAGTTCCAAAGCTTGGAGGTAATAAAAAGATCACTTCGTTTTACCTTTCCAGAGGAAAAGATTTCCTCAAGTACACTTCCTATATCCTCTTCATTATCATAAGCATATGCTGTATCAATATGTCTGTATCCCAACTCGATTGCACTGTTTAGTACCTCTCTTATCTTATCTTTACCCTGCAATCTCCATGTTCCAAGCCCAACAAGAGGTATTTCGTGCCCACTCTTGAGCTTAATTTTTTTATTTGACATTGCCATTCCCCGAGATGAGTTTTTTTAATCCTTTGGTCCTGAAACACTTTTTGCTTTAGAAGGCTATAGAAAAATACACCCAGACACCAAATTAAAAAGTTTAATAAATCTATAGCAGACCTTTGAAGTACTTAAAGCACTCAAGCTTTCTTTTAAAATCACCTATCTCCCTTTTATAATCATCTTCCAGGTCCCTAAAGTATCTCTCAACGTCTATCTTTCCAGAATCTACAAAATCAATAAAATCTTCGGGTACCTCTATGTTTAACTCGTACTTTTTCAGCAGTTCTACATCGCATCTAAGCTTTTCTGTCTCATTATTAGAAATTAGCTCTTCTATTCCCCTGTTATCTACATTTTTAGATAGAGTATTAAGTGACTTGGATATTCTTAGTGATATCTCACACATCTCCTCTAATTTCTTGGTCTCTGACTTAACAAACACCATCTTTGTATCATCCTTCAAATTCTCACTTTCTTTTGTACTCATAAGAGGGATTTAAAGGTGACAAAAGAAAAGCAAGGAAGACAAGAAATGGTATGAAATGGTAATTTAGTAAGATCTCACTAAATGAGGTTCTTTTTAATTTCTTTAAAAATTTGAAAAATTTCCCCGTAGCTAATGGAGGAACAGTTCATTCTGAGAGTACCGGAGGGCTTGAAGAGTGAGATGGAGAATGAAATAAGGAATAAAGGATATATCCAGAATAGTTCTATAGAAATATTAGAGAATAACAGAGCCATATTTAAGTATAAAGACAGTGAACACCAAGGTGTGATTGTTAGATTACCCTGTATAATCGAATCCCACAAAACTTTGGATTGTAAGCAATACTACAAGGTAAGTGATGTCTCTACAATGATTTATATCCTACCCAAGGAGATAGAGGGTGCTGAAAGTGAGATTGAAACCAGGATTAAGTTAATAGAGCTAAGTGGGCTATCTCCTCCTCTAAAGTTTTGCAAGATAAGAAGGTTCAGGAAAAGGAGTTCTAAATCGTTTATTATAGAGGAGATAGAAGCTAAAGTTAGAGAGTTAATAGAGAAAGAAAGGAATTCTCTCAGTGTTGAGATACAATTCAGTGGTAAGGGAATGGACGAGGAAACAGAGGAGGAGAATGTTTCATCACTAGTAGCAGAGTTAGAGTACAACCTTATAGAATCTAACAGACACACGAAGGAGCAAGAAAGCAAAAGAGAAAAAGGGGTGGGTGAGACAATGTCAGAGAAAGAAGAAGTAGATAAGAAATCAGGGATAGAGTTAAAACTACCCTCCGGTGAAGTGATGGAGAAACTCAGACAGTTGGATGAACTAAAAAGGAAGATAAACGAGAAAGAAAGCCAGTTAAAATCCGTAACAAACATTCTTCTGATAAGAAGATTTCAAGATTCCATCAACGTACTGAAAGAGGAGTATGAAAAGTTGAGTGAAGAGATGGAGGAAATCAAGAGAAGTGAAAGGAAGTGAGTGAACTTAGTTAATGTTTTTAATCTGCGGAGTCATTAAATAAAATTAAAGATTCATTGTTTACTCCAAAAATGGAAAGTAATTTATCACCTGTTTATTAACATTATTATAGTGGATGTAAAAATATAAATAGTAGAAAATATTTCATGGTAGAATGAGTTTGAATAGTTACAATGGAATGAAAAGTAAGGTACTAAAGGGTAGTATTTTATTTTTAGTGAGTTTATTATGTAGAGAAGTAGAAAGAGGAATATCACCGGGTATGGCGCTGATCTCCTTTGATGAGGGACCATCTAAATATACCGAAGATATCTTAAAAGTGTTGGAGCTAAAGGGTGTTAGGGCTATGTTCTTCCTAAATCCCAGAAATATTACCAAGGAGATAGTTGATAAGATCTTAGAGGGTGATCATTCTATAGGATTGAGTGTGGTGGAGGATTATTCTGAGATGGACATTGATGAGATAAAGAGAAGTATAAATGGAAATATCTCAAGTTTTATCGAGAAGATTGGATATAAACCAAAGAGTGTCAGACTACCAAGAATGGGATACAATAATGAAACTGTAAAGATTGCTGAAGAGTGTGGATTAATAGTCAGCAGACCCATTGTTGATTCCGAGGATGTGGATCTCCATGATTTTACACCTTACTTGATAGACCATATAAAAGGCACTGATCCAGGAAGTGAGTCTATTTCCATTGTATTTAGAGACAGGGTTAGTAAAACACTCAGAAGTATTGGAGTGATAATTGATCTTTTATCTGATAAGGGATATTCCATTGTAAGTTTTCGTGAGTATTCCGGAATGTGTGATAAACTAGAGAGGATGGAAGAGAACAGTGAAATGAAAGAAAACGAAGTAGCAGATGTGGAAAATAAGGTAAATGGTACAAATGAAGTAGGTGAGGAAAGTGATGTAGGAGAAGAGGGATCGAGTGGAGAGGGTAAAATGGAAGAAGATGAAGAAGTAAGAACAATGGACAACTCTACAAAGAATTGGAGTGAAAGATTCAAAACCTTCTATACTCTTCCATTGGTAGCTCTTTTAATTATTACTTGAGCAGTGGAGATGAAGGTACTTCTAATCCTTGTAAATAATTAAATTGTGATTGTAAAATGGACCTATAGTGAGATCTTAGGACTTGTTTGTCTGTCTTTGTTGAAACTGTTAAAACACAATGTGAAATCGTATCAAATCTTTTGTAACAAAATATAAAAAAGAGAAGTTTAGAGCTAAGCTTTGGAGTAGGATGAGAGTGAGTTTTAACGCTTTTGTTTTGATAATTTTTATAAGAATATGCAGGCCAATAGAGGGAAATATTGCTTTTATAGAATGTGCACCACAAGGTGGGACGTACATGGTGAACGTAAAAGTGCATCTGGAAAATGGTACTCTAGCAGAACTACGAAGAGTTTATGTTGAAAATACCGGAAGATACCTCAATAACTATGACTTGGCTGCAGATTTCTTTATAAAGATATTCAACCATGTAAATAGGGATCTAATTAAATATAGGGTACAGGTGAGACCGGATCTAAGTGAGCTGTACTTAGACAAGTTTGAATTTCCTTGGGATAAGGATGTTTGCTCAGAATTTTCACCGGTTGATGTAAGAACAAAAATAGCAGCTGAGATCTTTAATAACGAACTGTCAAATGGGGTAGGTAACAGATTATTGGTATTGTTCTGTCCAAATATTCTATTCGAACCAACACCGTACTCAACCCAGGTGTATTCCAAAGATTGTGGAAATGTTTCAGGTGTTCTGTTTCACAACATCCATTCTTTATCCTTTCTCATTAAACAACAACTAATGCAAATAGTAAGTAAAGGAAAGTACACAGAAGGTGATAGGATCTCTTCAACCTTTAATACTAGATTATGTTCTTATGTCAAAAAATGCATTACATTAAATGAAAATATCATTGGAGAGTACTTAGATGATTTTGATAACACCAGTGAAGCGTTTATGAAGAATGTTGATATGAAACGTGTATAAATACAGGATAGGGAAATAAATCGTTAGTTTAAATAAAATATGTTAATATAATGTGATTTTACACTTATTCTTGGATCCTCATTTCCAATGAGTAAAATGTGCTTAAAATTGTAATGGGAGATAATAGCTATATTTGCTTGAGGAAAACTTACGAGCTAAGTAAATTGTAAGACCCTGTAATTAATAAATATTTTTCTCGTTTTATCCTTATCTAGTAGGTAGTCCTCTACATAGATAGATTCCAATCTACAATTATTTATAATTAACCTTTAAGGTAACAATTCTTATGGGTTTCATTATCAAATCAATTACTAGCCAAATAAATTATAATTAATTTACATCAACTGCATTTATAGTAGTATTATTGGAGAATAGCTATTAGTGACAGGACCTCTCAATTAAAGAGACTTTTGATGCATTAATAATGCAATGTCTAAGCACAGTTAGAGATGGAAGAAATGGCATAAACTACATAATTTATTTAAAAAAGTCATAATTGACTACAGGTTTAATAAAGATGAAGTAGAGAGTATTATAACTAATGTTGAATGGATATCACTTTTCAAATACAGAACGACCTGTCATTTCTTGTGGTATTTCAATTCCCATGATATGAAGAATGGTAGGTGCTACATCTTTAAGCGAACAATTTGTATTGATATATCCCCCTTCATATTCCTTACCCTGGATTTCATTGCTGCAGATTATAAGTGGTACCTTACCAGTAGTATTTTTTTTGATAGGATTACCGTTTATGTCTCTTGTATGGATATATTTAAAATTAATATAATCTGCTGTGATAACCAGAATATAATCATTATCTTTGCATGTGTTATATAAAATGGCAATAGACTCATCCACTACATTAGCAGTACTACATACATTTTTGGTATCACCCCAAACATAACCAACTGTATTTAATGGTGGAATATCGCAAACAATGAATTGTGTATTTACTGTAATTTCTTTTATACAATTCTCTACAGCTTCCAAAATATGCATTCGTAAGTTTGAATCATAAACACACTCTTTAAAATCAAAAGTAAACATTTTTACTGGACCCATAGATACTCCTCCAGATCTATGAGTGAGAAGGGAAGCGAAAGTTTCAAATTTTCTACAATCAGAAATATGAACTTGTGAGAGATTATTCTCGGCTATTACCCTAGAAAGTTCATTCTCAACCTTTACCACATCGAAAATTGTCTTGATTCCATGCATCTCGTAAGGCCTAATATATGTGGTAATTGTGAATAACTCATTATTCTCGTCTATAATAAATTTATCCAATAACTTTCTTATTCCATCAACTCTAAAATTAAAGAAGACAAGTGTATCCCGTACTCGAATTCTACCTTCGTATGAAAAAATATGTGGTTCAAAGAACTCGTCAGTGATACCCTTTTCATAGCTAGACTTTATGTAACTCTCAATACTGAGGTTTCCAAATATCCTATTTCCTCTACATTTCATCGCATTGTAACTTTCGTCTATTCTTCCTTCTTCGTCTCCATCCATGCTGTAATGTCTCCCAGAGATAGATGCAATCTCGCCAAAACCCACCTCGCCTATGCACTCTTTTAGTGCATCTATATACACCTGAAATGACCTAGGTTCTACATCTACACCGTCTGCTATACAATGTATGTAGAGTTCCTCACATCTTCCTTTGCAGTTCACAATCAGTGACTTTATGTGGTCTATATGGGAATGAACACCACCATCACTTACCAGCCCTATCAGATGAATCCTTTCTTTATTCTTCAATCTAACCCTGTCTAGACACTCACCCATCTTTCCTTCAGCTATAACCTTGTTAATTCTAGTTATACTCTGATCAATCACTCTCCCAGCCCCTATTGTAGCATAACCTGCTTCTGCATTTCCCATCTGACCTGGAGGAAGTCCCACATACTCGCCATGTGCATGGACCATAAAACTGGGAAAGGTTGTGCTGAGTGTAGTAATCCAGGGATATTGTGTGCTTTCAATGTCATCCTCATCACATACCCCTTCATCATGGTTCCACCCATCAAGTATCACAAGACATACTTTTTTCATTGCATTGTTCTACTTTTTCGCGTTTTTATTCTAATCACAAAACACGTTTTATAAATATACATCTTGATTTAATAATGTGAATCATCGTGTTTCAGACAGAGTCACATAGTTCTTACTGGCAGAAAAGAGAGGCTTATCCCATGTAGAGATAGAAAGAATGGTAAAGTGTTGTACACATAGAGATATAGGTAAGATAAAGATAGAAACACAGTGTTTAGCAACTATAGCTTTATTTAATGAATGGTGCTACACTTCATTGCTGTAACACACCATAAACGAATATTCTCTTGGCTTTACCCTTAAATAAATGGATTAACTCGCTAACGATATCAGATCTAAATCTTTCAACGTATAACTCGTCTAACTCTATCTCAAATTTAGATGAATCCATAGTTGACAAACTGTTATCTACAGAACAATTTATAAACCACAGTTTTCTCAAGTTCCTACAGGATGACAAACCAATGATATCATCCTTTGTTAACTCAGAATTTACGACACTCAGCTCACTCAACCTCCTTGCTAACATTGTTGGCTCATCTTTAGACCCCAAGAAGAAAGGCAGTGATCTCCCATATATAGGATAGTTTACTTGTAGATTATCCAAAGAAGTTAGTGGAAGGTCTTTTACACCATCAAAGATATGTTTACTTGAAGCTATAAAACCTAAACTTAATGTTATCAAATTTGACAAATAATCCAACACATCCTTGTTATCTTCCAAGTCAAGCCTTTCAATATACTCTAAGTTCATAATCACCAACCTTTCAAGCTTCTTCAGTTTAGTGATAGCCTTTAGATATTCCAAAGTGAGACAACCACTAGAAGTCCATTTATCAAGTTCTATAACAAGAGACCTGAGAGTCTTTGTAATTCTACCATCCACCTTAAATATCTTTGGCATTGGGAGATCAAACATATTGATGATGGTAAGCTCTTCTAGTTTTTTAAAGTCTGACACAAATGAAATATGCTCAAGATGTTGAGAATTACTCGAAGCCCTTGTAGAAAATTCAACACTCAGTTTTTTTAGATTCTTTTTTAACCTTTTGTTTTTCAGTATCAGATCTAACGGACATTCTATCCCCTTTATCTGTAGCTGTTTTTTATCCACTCCTTCATGAAAAGAAATCACGTCACTTATCTTTATTTCCAATTCTTCGAGTCTTTCCAGGAGAGGTAGTCTCCAGGTGAAAAAAAAAAATTCCAAGAAACTACTGCTGTCATTGAAGAAAGCACTTAAAACATCAAAGTATTCGAAATATAATCCAAGCTTTGTTAAATACGGATATGACTTAGCTAGTATTCTCAGACTCTCCTTATCCCTAATTTCAAATTTTGTTAGTTTCAATACTTTGAGGGTATTCTGCAGATTACAGTTATTATATATAAATTGATAATCTATTATCTCACTATAGTACATTTCACTGATGTAAAGTTCATCCAGTGAAAACTCAGACAACTTTTCAAAGATGTCTTTTTTTATAGACTTAACTGTAACATCCAACACTTTCAAGCTTTTTTTCAACACATCACTTTTTACTATTACATCTATATCAGACGATGTAGCAAATTTAAGTTTAACTAGCTTAAATCTAGATATGTATTTCAACCCTTCCTCTGATAGTTCACTCTCCCTTACTTCAAGTGATGTTAGATATTCTATTTCGTAGAACAGTCTAAATAGTCTCCAAAACCTACGTCCTGACCCTCTGAGACGAGCTAAGGCGTGTGGTTCGATTATCAATTTGTTACCACTCTCCTCAACTTCTAACATACTTTGCACATTTCCTACATCCATGGCCTCCATAATTTTTTTGAATAGCACTCTCGGTGGAAATTTTGATGTGAAATACTTTTCCATTGTCTCATCGGATATATCAACGTTTTCACTTATCTTTTCTAGTGCATTTATCAACGAAGTTAATGAAACTTTGGATAAACTCATGGGATTGTAGCATTTCTTACCACTTCCACACACTACTTGTAACACAACTGC